AAATGCGACTGTAGCTTTTTTTCCCTCAAACTTATTCTTAAAAATAAGGGTGCATCTTATACACCGGTGCGTCTTATATTTCGAAAAATACGGTATTTGGAGAGAGGGAGCAAGTTGTGAACTTGTACTTATTATTTCATTTCTTTTATGATGTAGTATTTACTAGGTTGTTGACAATTGTAATTTTTTATATTTATAGCTGTGTTTAATTATTCATTTGTTAACACTAAAAAAGATGTTGTAGATACTTTCGGCCAATAAAGTATACTTAAAACAAGAGGGAATCCTCAATAGCCATGACACTTGAAATTCTTTTAGGCAGGATTAGAGTAAATGAATGCATGAGACATTTTTTTTTCCCTTTTATTAGCTATATTTTTGTGCAACAGCAATACCAAGTATGGGGTGCACATATACCCCATTCAGATTTATGACTTATCAGGATCTCTACCAACCTACCCTCAAATTGAAATTCTTTCAGGCAAAATTAGAGTAAATTACTCTATGAGACCTTGGGCATGGTCAAATACATCAGTCGAAAGGGTTTGCCCTCCTGAATCCAAAACTATTATTATATCTCAAATCAGTCAAGAGATGACTGCCACGACAAAAAAATATCCAGGAAAAGAAAACTGTACAAATGAGTTTATTATTTCTTGTGATTTGATATTTTGTGAACTCTCTCAATGGATTGCATTTACAATAAATCTCTATTTGGCATAGGTCTTATATATGTATTTCTTTGTTTTCAGAAACAGGGATTGATTATTGTAACTTCATTCACTTTGTAAGAAATGCCACAATATTCAGTTCAATGGTGCATGTTTTCAACATACTAATAAAATTACAAGTGATTTCAAGCTTTGTAATGATTTTGGATTATTAACATTTAACCCAAAAAATTACGAAAATTATGTCTTCTCATTATATTTTTTTACAATTGTAAAATTGGTCTTAAAACGATTATTTATACTCATGAAAACTTTGAAATTATCAATAGAAAACACACATCTAACATTTAACAGATGATGTTATGTGTAACAATGAATTGCAAACTTCAAAAAATGCATAAAACCTGAAAAGAATGTATGCTTAGATAATGTTTACATTTAGTTTTTGTTACCAAAGACATAACCAAGAACATTTCGTGTAACTCTGATATTCTCTTGTTACAAATAAGTTACTTAATAAATATTTAGAAAGCAAATATATGTACCAATATGGTTTGCATTAAAAAAACTTTATTACTATCTCTTATTATGGAGTTAAAGATATCCTGTCAGTTAGATTATTATTTTTTTACAGGATTACATAGATAGAACAGAAACAATTTACATCAGCCACTTTGAGATTGAGTGACATTAAGTGCACTATAAGTGTATAAGTTGTACTTCCAATCACCTGGTGAATCCTGCAAAGTAATAAAAAAATACAACTTCCGAGATGATACCTCATCTCTTTGCATAGCTTGATTCCTTCACACATCAGCCTATGAGCTTTGAATGTCACTATCCTTCAGCCACCTCCCACCTAAAAAAAGGTGTTTAATGTGAACTATGTTAGTGCATAATGACATCATGTGACAATAGCTTTCTACCAATAGGAGGGTGACACAAATTCCTTGTACAGTAGCTTCCTATAAGTGCTTGCACTCAAAATAATTTCATTATTTTCCTTGCTTTTTCTAGGATGGAAATGTTTCAAAATTTTTAACCAACCAATTGAGATTTGCAATGGTTTCTTACCAAGTTAAATTTCATTTAAGTTTTCTTGGTTTAAAACTCATGATTTACATAACTAACACGATTTTTTTTTTCCACTTTTAAATAGGGAAAAATTCATAATAGTGTTTCCCCTCACTATGAATTCTTAAGTGACAGTAACTTCCAATTTGTCCCTTAATAGTGACGATGTTCCTACCATAGTACTTCTATCTAATGGGGACTTGTTTGTGGAGGATGTGACAGTCATTGTTCAATGTGTTGTGGGTTCCTTCGTGCACACTAAACTGCATCTTCTTGCCCATTTGGCCAACATTCCTTCTCCCCCATCTTGGTCATGTTCAAATTAATGATGATTCTGACTGGCCATTTCCCCCCACCAGAGTTTGCTTTAGGCACAACTTTGTTTCTGGAGGAAAATTCTCACCCTTATAATCTCTTCTTTGTCATGATTTCAGTGGTATATTCTTTTTTTCTTTTTCTCCTTTGTCATTTGATTCCTCTTGTGCTTTACTACATAAAACCCATACATAAGACTACTTTGTATTCCCTCCTTCACCTGACATTAAGGTCCTTGCAGACTCGTTTATTGAATGACTGCACACTTGTACTAACATGCCTCATTCTCCTTGTCTACTAGACTCTTTTATCCTGGCTTACAGCCAATCTTCATTTCTCTTCCTCATATTCCAAGTCTTTGGAATATTTTTTACCTGCTTGGGGGTCAATTCCTTAACTTCTGTTTCACTTTCTAGGACCCAATTTTTGTGCTTTAGTCCTTTTTTTATTACCCTCCTACATTACCTTTCATCACTTCAACTTATGTCTGAAGCACTTCATCATGCTCCAGAGGGGTATTTTGAAGTGGATCATTCTCTTTTTCTCCACATTGGTCCATACTTCTTCATCTGCTCTATCCCTCTTTACTTGGTTCCTCTACTGTTGGGATAGGGTGCTCTACTATTTAATGTATGCCTTGCTCATGCTTATCTCCATGATCTTTGTCAAGCTCCATTTCTTTACCCAGAGGTCTTTGGGGGTATTCCTGACTTGATGTAAACTCAGGCTAAGGTGGCCCAGCATCAGTTCTCATAGTTTACTTTGGTTTTTCATTTCCTTCAACCTTGCCATCCTGTTCCTAGACCTTCCGAATCCATTTTCTATTCCCATTCCAGCTTCCTAGCTTTCTTCTATTTTCCACTCTTCCACTTCCTGATGCCAGGGTCATCACATGTCTCATCAGTTACCATCCTGCCGATTCTGGCCCTGTGAGGCACCTGTCTGTCTCTTTTTGCCAGCTTTTAGTCTCCACTTTTGTCTGACAGATGGGTTCTTCAGGTTCTCACACTTTCCTGTGACACTTGGGGCTCTTGTGTCTTTCCTTCTGGGCAAAGAGTATACTCTGGTTGTATGTGAGATTCTGACTATTGTATGTGCAGAGGTGAGGTATCTTCTCATAAGTTAGCAGTTTCTTTACTTGAAAATGTATACATAGTCACCTCTTCACACCTTCCCACTTCCAGTTCACCTTCTTCTTGCCTTGTCTGAGAATGAAGTTATTTTGAATGCTAGTGTTAGGGGGAGCTACTCTGCAAGGAGGTTGTGTCACTCTCCTGTTGGTGGAGGGCTATTATTACATAATGATGTCATCATGCATTAGCGCAGTTCACATTAAACCTGTGTATTTTAGTTGGGAGGTAGCTCATAGCTAGTGGTATACAAATCTCGTAGACAGATGCATAAAGAAATTAAGTTATTCTGTGTAAGGTGGTGAGTATCTATCAGAAATACATGTTAAAATTTCAAAAATTGATATTGGTTGACCTAAATTTATTAGTAACTGTTATTATGAAAGCCAAAAACCTAAATGTCTTGCTTTATTTAGGTAAATCTTTAAAGAAATATTACTTTCTTATTGTTACAGGCTTTGTATGCCCATGTTAGAACTTGTAGGCATAATGTTAAATGTGCTTTGAAACCAAATGTTAATAAAATTTTACTTTGACATTGTATTAAGTAGTAAAATTGAAATACATTGCACATAAATAATTCAGAATAATGACATATTTTCATTTTACTTTGTACCTAAGCTTTGCAAAATGGAGAAAATATGGTACATAAATAATTCAAAATAATGAAATTTTTTTCCATATCCTCTTATATCTAGCCTTTGGATTCTCATCAACAAGTTGTTGTTACTGAAGTGAAGCAGTGGTGGCCAGGGCTGCGGAGACTAGTGCTCCGTAGAGATGAGACTGACTTTGGTTTCACACTGAGACATTTCATTATATATCCACTAAATAAAAACCAGGTAATATACTACACTGTAGACATTTCAGTATGTGAATGTTATAAATAACCTGCAATTTAATAGCATTCAGGTACTTATAATAAATATGAACTGCCTTTCCAGTAAAAATGAAATTAACTTATCCAAATATATGTGTATATATATTCGATTTGTCTTCATCAAATTTTTACAAAGTTGATAAATAGAAGAGTCTTAAGTACAATGATTCACTCATATGAATTTAAAACATGGACAAAACATTACAAGGTTTTCACAGTAATTTCTTAATTCAAGAAAAGTCTATTCCTTAATGTGAACTTTTAGATAAATATATTGAAAGTTAACATTTTAAGTGTTATAGGTGCATTGGTTGATTAAATATTTTGCTTTCCAGTATAGTAGCTGCAAAAAATAAATAAATTCTATAATTGAAAAAGTGATTTAATTCACCTATTTTAGTGAAATTAATGAAGTAGACCAATTCAGTATCTGGAAAGTTTATAAGCCTATGAAGAACAAACAAAGACAAAAATCTGATTTTATTTTAATATTTTGCTTGTCCTAATTTGTGATATGTTGTTCTTTTGTAAGAACATTCTATGAGAACTCAAATATTGATGAAGCTTGGTATTTTTACATGTATATTAATTGATTTTTCAATCTGGTAACCTTTGGAATGTAAATGCTGATTCAAAACTTTAAAAAGCTGGATATATTAACCAGTGGTTCAGTGCTAAGTCTCAAGGCTTATAAAGCTAAAAACTGACTTTTGATACCCTTGGTGGGTACAGCCCAATGTGTAGCTTTGTGTTAACAACAAAACCCTTGCTGTTTGTGTTTAATGGTTCCTCTAACACTTATGTAATGATAAAAGAAGGCAATACTTGTTGGCAAAGTTAATTTCCTTAACAATTTTGCACATAATGCATTCAAAGCTAAGTAGATTTATTTCTCTAAATTTCATTTTAACATTTGCAAAACTAGTTCATTATTGTGGAATTGTTTTTTGACTGTACTTCTTCTGAGTTTTCTTTCATATTTTTCATTTAATGTCATTATTGTGAATTCCTTTGTCTAAAGGATGGGTCATTGTGGCCTGAAGGTAGTTTGGTATGAAAAGTACTAGCTGATAGTGGGAATAGTTAAGCATACATACTTATGAGTTCTAGTTAGTGCTGGATGATTAGTGGGATTTGCTAATCGATTAATTGACAGACCCATTAATCAATTACTACAATGTTCCTCAAACCAAGGTATGTACAAGCAAAGAGTAGCAGGTACTGCCAGCCAGTTGCCTTCCCTCTAATTAGCAGTTCGAAATTAGTAACAGTGACAGATACCTTTTAGCATTAGTAGCTTTACCATAACCAAGGCAGGGCAAACAAGTTTGGAGGGAATATTTTGATTATTTGGATAGTAGAAATAATTGAAAATAGTAATAATGAGAAACCCTAATATCAGTTAGTTGGTTATTTTAGTGATAATCAATATAATTTAAATTTTGATTAATCGAATGTTGGAAAAATAAAAAACAGTAATAATTGGAAACACTAATTATGATTAAAGTATTTAACCCTAATTTTGATTAATCAGTTAGTTTATTGATTAAATGATTAAATCTCCCAGTTTTAGCACTAATGTTGCTGCTTAATTAGGATTTCGTGATAATTTCATTGATAAGAAATCTTCTTTCATTTTCAGTCAAAATTTTGTCTAGAAAAAGTTTTGTTTTTATAATGGTTAAAGTTATTTCTATTATTTTTGTTATCAATCATACATCATTCTTTCACTTTTTCTAAAGCTGGCACTACAATGGCTGAATTTGACAGTAGGATAAGTTACAATGACTTTCTTAGAATTAAAAGGGAACACTGCCACAATTTAGGTTTGAAATCTTTGTACAGTACAACATACCAATTTGTACTTATTTTAAAATTAATTCATTATTTTTTTGGAGGTACAAGAAGTATTTTTATCTTTCAGGATCTAGAGAAAAAGGAACATTATACTGAAACATCAGGTAAATGGAATAAATATTGCTTGTTATAACATTGTTAGATATTCATGTTACACATAGGAAGATTACAGCTAATTATCTATTTAAGTATTTAAATAAAATGTGCAAATTAAAAAGTAGTATCATAATGGTTGTATAGTTTTTTGTTATTTCCAAAATATCTGATTCTGCTCTAATCAGTTGTTTTATGTAGACATATTAAAGTACGTGGACATTATTTGCATGCGAGTAGTTCTTCATCTACCCAGTAGTAAAGCTGGATAATTAATGGAATATGCTAATCTATTAATTATTGGGTTAATTAACCTTTTCGAGATGGGTCATGGGTGAAAGGCCATGCCATCTTGTTTTGTTGACTCTCATTCAAAATTTTATTGAACTACTATTTCATGAATTTACGTCAATATGTTTGGTATCAAACTGTAGATTATAATTCAAATTTTAGTACTATATATTACTCAGTTTCCTAATCTAAAACCAAATATTAAAAAACACAGATAAACATCGATTTTTCTGCGTCACATGGTATATTGAATGTAGCACTGGTTCAAATCAGATGTTTGTGAAGTCAAAATACTAAGTCTATAGTTTCAAACGAATTAGAAACTCAAGTTACCATTATTGACAAGCTAGAATTTAAAAGAGCCTCTTATCTTTTCAATTTGCTGAGATATTGCTTATGTAATAAATCAAACACAGTCGCACCCTGCCCACCTCTTTCCATTTTTGGAAATGCTCCTTTATATACATTTATTTCTATATATGACATAAATAATCAAGCGGCAGCTCAGAATGTCCCCCTAGTGGCTTTTTCAGCCATTTTAATGGACTTGGCACCATTTCTTTCTTTTGAACCAATATTTCAACAAGATAGGGTGTGTCTTTAGTCTGCTCGAAATTTCATATTTTTTAGACTAAAATACATCTTAGTTATTAAAGCTTTATAAATTATAGTGGAATTCTATGGTACTGATGTAGTAATTTATTATTTTTTTAGTTATTCAAATGTATATATAGAACCTAAAAAAAAATTATTTTAGTTTCATATCCTCCACGTGCAAAATTTTTAAAGGCTTAGCAACCTACG